ACTTAAATCGTAATAATTGCAGTATCTCACACTTCAAACGCAGTGATAACCATTTAAACAAAAATAAAATTGTAGCCAAGTATCATGCAAGTGGAAATGAATATTCTTCTCACTCGTTCCATTTTTTGACATAATGAATTTAATTTATTTTTTAGTTTATCTATCGAAGCTTACTAGTGTTGGAAATAATCAAGACTTACCATTGGTATTACTTAAAAAGGAGTCTGATTGTAAGGCATGATTTAAAACGTAAATTACGTTTAAATCGCATTAGATCGCGCTTAAATCTCAGTAAAACCATGTAAATCACAAAAAAATTTTTGCCAATGATAGGAAAAGTAATAGTTTTTCTTCTCAATCGTTAGATCCTTAAATATAATGTTTAAAGTTTCTTATTTAGTATGTTCCTTTGAAGTCACTTATAATAACAAGAAGCAAGATAAACCATTGCTGCAGCAATTGAAAAGAGAGTCACGAAAATTGGACGTGTATACATTTCAGGGTATACACAACTTTCAAAGATTATTGTTTGTCGAAAAGAATTTTGTTTGAAACAATTTTGTGTTTTTTGGCACACTATTTGCTAATTATTTTTAGGTATCAACAACTAAGTATGGTGCAAAAAAGCTACACTTAATTTGCAGAGATTGTTTTTTTTCAAATATTAAAGTAACCAAGTAAAGTGTGATCTACATTGGTAATGAATCACCGTTTTATTGTTGAATAACTTGCAATTTAGGCAAAAGTGCAACTCAAAATCATAGTGTCATTTGAAAGGAGTCATACAGTATTTTTAATAATAAAGCGTTTTGTATGGGTGAATTGCATGCTAACATGACTGTGTGCTCTGCGTAAATTCATTCCTAATCATTGCCGATTATCTTTGAATTACGGACTGTGGTTGGATTTATCTTTCAAATTACGAACATTTATGGTTTCTGTGACACATAATTATGTTTAACAAAAATTTTTTTTTTACTGTGATTTGAAGATGATTTAGATATTTAATTGTGTATTAAAGCTTTGGAACAGTGATTTAAATCGCTTAAATCACGTAGGTAGACCCTCGTCTATAACGCAAAGTGTGTACTTATTATGATCAGGTGCAAGTGGTTCGAGGGAATAATCGACGAGTCGACGCCATAGTTATAAGTATCTAAAACATGACTATAATTCAACCGAAATTGGGGTAAAACGATTGATCCTTACAATAGGCACAAAACAGCACTTTGTGCTATCGGTCCAAAAGTAGTTTTTGTACCTTATTGTAACACATGCGTACCAGGATAATAAAAATTCCGGAAAAATCTACATACGATTTGTCACACATGAGTTGTACTTTGGGCCTAGGGTGATAAATCTATTTTTTAATATTCAATGCTCTTTCCATATTTTTGTAGAGAATCGAAATTTTTACTTTCTTCTGGTATTAACAGTCGTAGAACTACTGAACTGACTTAAAATTTTTAAACTAGTTGCTCCAAGACTTGTCAAGGTTAATAATTAACCTGTAATACATGATTCTATTATTTAATATTTGCCGTGAATATTCATGTCAACGGATTATAGTAACTCGTTTTATATGTTTATCTAAAGTAAATTAAAGATGCTATTAAGTGAGGGACACATAAGTATACTGAGTCATTCGCTAAACAGCTGGACCGAAACAACCTGTTTTGTCCCGCGGCCTTTTGTATTGAACGTATTAAATGTATAATAATTTTTTTATGAAACAACATGTTCAGATCTTCTTATAAACACAGTACGGTTTGAAATTTGGAAATGTATGTCACCTTAAAGTTTTTTGTAGTACAAGAGAATACTAGGTAATGATGAAGAAAGTCAAATATTATTCTGCTATTTATTCCACAAGACTGAACTAAGAGTCCTAAACTAAGTTTAGACTTCACGTTCGTATCCACCAATTTTTTTTTAATGGGCCCTGTATTGTAGTTTTGCTCCTTAATTTTTAATTCCTTTTTTTTTTAAAGGAATGAAAATTTTAAGAAGTTTTTTAAGAGCAGTGGCTATTACACAAATAACTCAGGTCAAAAGTATGCGCACCTAGAGAGTTGTTGCATGGGTGAAAGTTTTTATATTGTAGCTGTATATAAAAACAAATAAATGCTCAAGAAAAATCGTTTTTTATTTTCAAAATAATAATATCATCCATTATTTAGCATCTCATTTCGTGATTTTTATTACAAATTATATTTTACACTTTTCATTGTAAAGAAATAAATGTTAAAATTGNTAAGTTTAAGTGATCATATTGTAAACATATCTGATATATTTAAAATAAGCAGTATACATAATGGATACATGCCTATAGATTTTTAGATTAATAGTGTAAATACTCTTGTCATTTGTAAAAAAATATATAAATGCATCTATGTATGTGGAAAATATAATATGATGAATAAGTCATTGTATACATAAAACGGCAAATACTAAAGTGCGTTTTTCACTAGTATTAATTTTGTTATTTTCTAGTTTCTTCTTCTTTTCTTTTTTTTTGTAATAGATTATGTAAAGTGAATGTCCTGAGTCCTGACAGTGGTCCTGAGTCCGACTATTTTCCTTAAACGATCTTATACTTAGTCACTTCAATGAAGTTTCCTTGAAAGTATCATAATGAAAACTTATGTTTACGCGAAAGAAAAGATTAATGGGACTATTCTTATTTCGCGTATGTACATGTCATTGTAAACGCAGCCTAACCTTGCTAATAGTAAAAATACAGTCAATCATCGCAGTCATCATAGCAATTAAGCGCAGAGGCAGAGAATATATATAGAATATATACATAGAGATATATTCTATATTCTGTCATCACCAGTCTGTCAATGTTTGTGTTACGGGGGTGGTTGGCTCGAATGAGGTTATGTTTTATCACTCCTACCGTATCAACCGTAAATCAAAGAATCGAGTTTGCTTGATGATACATTCATAGGAAAAGTAACACAATAGTTGCAATTATAAAAATGACAGTGCGTTGCGTGGTCCGTGGTTGCAAATCCGGTCTCGTTTCCGATAAACAACAAAAAATTCGCGCAGGACTCAAGCCTGCTACACTGTTTACTGTACCCAAGGTATAATTATCAATATTGATGTTATTTTTTAAAAAATACATATTTTCGCTGATGATTTTTCCAAAAATTAATCTCAAAAATTAAAATTTTAAGGCTCTCGACAAAGAGTTGTTTGATTACCAATAGGTGTAATTACTTATACTATTTTTGCAGACCACAGATTTGTTGAGGCAATGGAGCAATGCACTACATCAGGAACTTCAGCACAATGAAAAAGTCTGCGAACTGCACTTTGCAGTGACAGATGTGATAAAGAGTGACGACACAATTTTACCGGACGGTTCTATATTTTCTCTTCCAAGGAACAAATATTTATTGCGCAAAAATGCTATACCCAAAGATATTTTTGAACAAGACAGTACACCGTTGGAGAAAGAGGTATCAGTTACGCAAAGCAAGCGGTCAATAAAGAAAAATCTAAGGAGTTATTTTAATGTTTGTATTGTAGGATCCTGTAATAACGCAAAGTATCCAAACTGATACTGCAGCCGATGACATCAACTTGGTAATCGGTCAATTGCCATCAAGTGAATCTTTGGTAGAGATGACATCAATGGATGTAGAGGTAATTTTAATTGCTGAATAATTTGTTCAAACAACTTGTATTATGATTTCTAATGTACCGAGCTAGTGCCACTCAGTCGAAAACTAAAACAAAATTTAATTTCATGCTCCAGGAGGTTTTAATTAGTAATGGTATAAGTGGCTCATTGCATGATAATTTTGAAAGTGACTCACCAATCATGGTATGGATTTTTAAGGCTCCCTTTTTTGATGTCATTAAACAAGACCATTTGATAATAAGTGTACATTACAGGAAGCTTTGAACGAAGGTATTTTAAACGAAACTCTGTCCAATGATCATCAGTATTTTGTTGATAGAACGAAACCAGATCAGTATTATTATTTCAATAGTCGAGTAGCAGCTATGTTTACTATTCCAATGCTCAATAATCATTTTGATAATGATAAGAAGGTGAAAAACAATGTTCACATTACAAATGATTTATTTTCATTGTTAAAGTTTATTAATTATTACAGTTTGATGAACTTGAAAACGCACAAGAAATTAAAGTTCCAAATGATAAGAATAAGGTATGGTTAAAAACTTGCTTTCATCCAGTCATCATTCTTTTATCATGTTTTATAATAAAAATTATTTTTGTTGTGGTAGTCAATTGAAGAAAATTCACATGTCGATTTTACGAATGTTGGAGAAGCACCACCCTCTCCACAACTATTTTGTGAGATGTCGTCAGAAGTAACGATACGAAGTATTAAAGATTACATTCTCAAAAATCCCTTACCAAAAACTTGGAGCTGGATGCATTTTACTAGTACAGATAATGGAATTACTTTCGCACAAATAGATTGCACAACAAAAAAAATTAGATGTTTTGTACAAGTTTATGAAGATTTGACTGCATCGGTAAGATCTATCATTCTCTTTATTTATATGGAATTTTCTCGCTTTAGTATCCAACAATTTTGGAATAGTGTCCAAAATGTACAATTCGAAAACGTTTCGATAGCCCAAGTAGAGTATCAGTGTATTGTCTGTATCACTCATACTGCCATGACTGGGCCAGATCAATTTTAAAATTTGTTTTAAAAAAAAAATAAAATTCCGTCGATAACAGTCATAAGTTTGTTTAGTATACTGCTTTGGATCAGAAGTTTCAGTAGTTCAAAAATTAATATTGAAATTGGGATAAAATATATTTGATAGATACTTCCTAAAAATCTGTTGTTTATTTATGATCTTAGGTAACTTTTGATGGATTGCATTAAATTGAACGAATATTTTACATTCGAAAGGATTTCACTTCAGTTTCCACTTTAGCCGAATTATGACATTTTATATAGTTTATTACTTTGCCGCGCACATTGAAAGTTATATCAATGTTTACTGACATATCTTGCGAAAAAAGGTTCATTGGACCAAACACCGAGACATATGTCGCATAGTTTTGCCCGAATATGTTTGAAGAACTTTTACTGAACTAGTGAGAAAAACGTACACTTTTGACTGTGAGGGGAGTGTAAAAGAAAATTTTGACTTTAAATTAGAGTACTCTCGTAATTTTTAGACACAATTGTTAAGTGTCCACCATTTGATGGCGCCTAAAATTTTTAAAAAAACTATTTATGATGCAGAGCAGATTTTTAAAAATAAAACTGTAATAGTTACATTTAGCTTTAATATTAGTGGAAACTTTTTCAAAAAAAGGATATAAAAGTTGCCAATGCACATGTTCAGTTAGGGCACATAACTTTTATGTTTTAATCGCAACAATCGAAAGTCAGAAAAACACTGTTGGATCGTTGAAGAATACAAAGCTAGAAGCTAGAACACTATATTTTACACACACACAGCTGTAGGGTATTAACAAATGTATACTACGTATAAATATGTTGATATTTTACGAGTATTCATAAAAATTTTGAATTTCACGATGAATTTGACATTTTGAATTTCAAGGTGTTATTTCAAAACTGTGGGCAAAGTAAACAATTAAATGATTCAAATGATATTAAAGTTGCTCCCAATATTCGCCAATCCAATTTAATTGTTCTTTTATAGTTAAATTCGAAAAATTGTTAAATAAATGAAGTTTTTTATTAATATGTATTCAAACAGATACTTTTTTACGATTGCAGATTCAAACTGGTGATGAAGAAGTATGCATGGAAATAAAATATGACTTTCTGTCACCAGAGTGTATTTTAAACTTGTTAGATAAAGTAGAAAAAATAAAAATATGCACTGGGGCCGAAAATGGCAGGTAAATATATTTTGTCATCAAACATTTTAATAATGAATTAAATTACTTACACCAGAGATAAACTTTACATGTGTATAATTTTCTTGATGAATACATGTTATTACTATTGGTATGTATATTTACATTGCTTATTTCGACTGTTGCAGCCGAGACAAATGCTGCTCTGGAATCATCACTGAAGAAGAGAATCAAAAGATGGCGACGTTACACGTCAGATGTGCGGCTTGTAGAAAACTGAGAATACAATTCCGTAATCGCTTCGAATATGCCAATCATTTAAAAACAAAATATCGCCATTTAAAGAAGGAACTAAACGTATTGAAAAGGAAGTGTAATAATTATGAAAAAAAAGATTCTCGTACAAAATAATAGACACAGAATACAATAAAACTTGCCCAATCCAGTAATTTTGCATGGAAAGAAACAGATTTGGCAACAAAGTCAAATTTTATTCAAATTTTAAAGCCGCTTTGATAAGCACACTGTATTGTTCAAATCTTGATCTGAAGGCAGAAATGTTTACTCAATTAGTATCAACACAATTTTTTATATTAGGGGTTGAGCACAATTAATTTTTGCCAAAGATAATTAACGAAACATATGCCATGATAATCTTGTCATTTTATGTATCACTGTATTTTCTTTAATTTTTTTATGTATTTATTTGTGAATCACGAAGTCAATCTTGCGTGAGTTAAATTTTATACTCTTAAGTAAATGTTTCATAACTATTTTATGAAGTATTAATGCATTTATTGTACTACTACTTAACTGTATGTATTTTTTAAACTTTTTTTAAGGCATGTGCATGTAAAAATATTTTTAAACACTGAGTTACCAAGAAATGAATAAAAACTAAGTGTAAAAGTATTTCTGTTTATTTCTCTAATAACTATTATAATTTATTCCTTTTAGTAAATAATTAATATTTAAATTCTCATGTAATACTTCTGCAATTTTCCAGTGCACTTATCTAACAGCAGAATTACGTAAATCTGCAGAATCAGACCCAACGCAAGTGTTATGTAATTTTTATATCGTCAGAAACTTGGTGTAAGAATTAATTTAAAAAAATAATACGTTCCCAGGATAATTAAAGCATAATCTTAACGATTTTTTGCAATAAACCTTTGATTATCCAGCTGAAAACATTCACAAGTTTTTTTTTTACAACTTTGACTCGTTAAATTTTTCCAACAAAAAAATTTCATCGAATGCCGTAAAATGCATGAGGTATACATGTGGCGTCTCACATCTCTCGCACTTCAGGCTCTACTCGCCAGGTGGCCAAGCCCCTAATAGTTCGCTTCCGTCAAGTGGCGAAATTCCCGCACGATTACTATATAAGCGCGATCGAGATTATCTAAGCCAGAGATTAGTAGAGAGATTGCTGACTGCAATGCTACGGCGCGAGTTCACTTTTCGCCACTGTTTCGAGCGCCCCGTCGCGGCCAAGCGGTCGAACCAGGCACACATATTTTTTTTTTATTTGAGAAGCGTGGAGGAGGTATACCGAGTGTGTGCCTACAGATTTGCGTGGAAATGGGCATGTAGGCACATACTTTGGAGACGCGTGGAAGGGGTATACTGAATATGTGCCTACGGAGAGAGGAGTGGTGTGTATGGAAATGCCGACTACAGCTATATAACTATATACCCGCGTATATCATAGCGAAAGAAAGCAACGAGTCTTTCTCGCTATATACTTATACTTACTAACTTCTTAAATAAGGTCTTAGAAATTAAGGGGAAATAGAGAAGAAAAAAAGATTTCACATCTAATATTTGTAAAATAAAAAAACCTATTTTAATTTACAATTCTCTATAACATATGAAAGTTTAAGAGAGGCTAGCCATATTATTTTTCGAAAATTAAATCATACAAATAAATGTTTACGCAATTGGAAGCTCAGACTTTCAAGGCATTTATTTTTTAGTTCTTCTTATACTTTGGATTTTCGTTTAGTACTGCGTATCAAAGTACGTTGAAAAAATATTTAGCTTGAAATATTTTTTGAGGTTGATAGTATGGCTATAAGCACCTTAAATATAAATTATTATTTTTACTTATCATAATCGCTATGAACTGTAGGCCAAGCTCCGGAGGGTATCAATGAACATATGTGACTTTAGGTTCTAT